ACCTAATATATTTTTAGTCCGCAGCAAACCCTCGGCTTGGGGCATCTTATAATTTGTGGGCCTAAAGTCTGTTGTACTGCCGGGGAAGCCATTAGGCAGCTGTTCGGCCTGGTAGCCACGAGACTTCGATATATCCCTTCGGAACGCTTAACCTTTTGGTCAGCATTAATCCTTTTATAGGATTTCTCTTCTGCATTCAACCTAAACCTTTACCGATCTGACGTTTAGAACCATCACCGTCATTTCTATGTGTACTTCCTCGTGATGAAGATTCGAACATACGACTTGCCACACACTGTCTTACCACACCAGCCTTGCTATCGCGTTAGCCATGACCTATCAACATTATGTGAATCAAGTAAGATCACATGCCTTAAGTTTACAAGTTAAACACTAGTGTGCGCACGGTTAATGGCATTGAAAGAACAGCTAACTTACTCGAAGACGAGTTCCATTTTCCGCGACAATACTTTCCGAAGGAAGCATATGAATATGATGAAACTTCGCAAGAGTCGCGGAGGGCATTATGGATTTGGAGGATCGACCCCACTTGGTCGGCTATTTGGAGTTAGTAAAAAATTCCCAAAGTCAATTTTGAAAGAAGACGACCAGTAAACAATCATGCGAAAAAATCAACTGCAGTTGGCAAATATTTTAAATCCATGGGATATACTCGAAAACTAGGAGTTTCGGTGCCTCACAAAACGGCTTTTCGTTGTTCCTCTGTAGCTCACCAAGGCACGGAGTAGTGTGCAGTTACAATGACCGCTTTCTAAACAAAGTGGTTCTGGTGACAGGAAACGGGGTCTTCGCGTTGATACGAAACAGAGAGACGAATAAACAGCTTCAGGAAATACGCTCAGACATAGAGATAGCCCAAATGTATATCCGAAAACGACGGTGATTTGCGATTAGTGAGCATGGAAAAGTATTATATAGTGGCAGACACTTGAGAACAAGACAGCCACAAAGTATCTCTATATGGTCCAATCGCATCGATTGTATTACATAGCGAAGCCATCTTTCTCCGCAATAATGTCAGGACTGACATTGCAACGATCATACAAGTCACTCTGTAAGAGCTGGAGCGGAAAATTCTTATGTACTTACTATATTCCCCAGACCCCGCACCGACAAACAACCACCCTTTGTGATATGTAACAAATCAAATTAGAAAACGTCCCTATGACATTGAAGAGGGTTCCTAAACTTAAGGACATGTTGAAGTCTTCATTGACGTTTTATTTCGTGTTGGGAGCAACGGCTGAACGGGATCTTTGACAACTGACCTAAAAATTTCCTATAAGAAAGAATAATTAAATTGGTCGGAGATTTAGAAGACAATGACGAATGTTTAACGAATCGATTTGTTGGTAGAATTCACGTAAAACGCTAATCCTTTTGTTAGGTGAAGATCGACAGTGTTTATGTTACAACGTATGGTTTTCATTTTACTTTTAACATCTTTTGGGGTCTAAAGGTTTTCAACCACATATTAGGCTTTCGGGATTATATTTTCCGCGAAGCTCTAATTGGGTCTGTTGTAAGCAAGCTTAGCACATGTAACGAAATTAATTTTATACTTCTTGGATCAATAACCAAAGCTATAACCTTCACAACAGGACAAGTTGTAACTTCCGCCCGCTGGCATATTTTTCCAAAGCCCAACACGCTGCACAACGCTTACCACCCGTGCTGAATGTAACATATCAGGAAGAACTAATGACTTATCGATTAGATCAGTCCTAGCTTTACCTGAGCTGTTCTCCTAGATGCGGATGACTCCACCTTGGCTAGATCCGATTGCGGTTGCAGCCCGGGCCTCTTCGAAGGCCCTCGCACATTCACACGGAGCAAAATCAACACTTCGTTCGTTAAGATAATAAAAATGTATCTAAAGTGAGATAAATACACGGCTTTGAGTGACTGTTTTAAGAATATCCCCATAAATTATCAGCTATTTACTGTTTTTTGCGTTATGACCATAACGAAGACTTAAACTTTTAAAAGGTAAAACCTACATTAAAATTATATTTCGTTGAGCACCGACCCAGATGCTTCAATAGTATGAAATCCGAGTGATTCGAATTGAAAACTATAATACAGAGTTCAGAGCTCGTTAGATGACCCAAATTCTAACTATTAAGCGGGAAATTTTTGACCTTTTTGATCAATGAATAAATTTACAAAGCAGTGCGTGTATTTCAATGGTGAGACTATCCTTGTAGAACTTCTACCAATTCAGTAGGTGCTCCTTCAAATTTAAACTGTTAGGAGGGTTATGTTTTTATCTCTTGAAGACGTAAGAACTGCCCTTCTGCGAACATCACTTGCAACTTTTTGCACACAAACGCCGACCTGGAAGACTCACTTTTAACGAATAGTCGCATAAAAGTAGGCTATTTAGCGTAACTAGGACCCGAAAGGGTGCTTTGAACAAGCGCCATAGCTATATCATAGCTATTTGTTAAAATTCATTTTCAAAACTTACCGAATCACCTTGGAACAACTGTAAACGTCATTGAGTTATATTAGTTTTCCCTACGTAACGCTACTTTCAGATACGGTGTTACTAACTGGCACTAAGCTATCTGCTTTTTAAGATTTATATGAAGATATTTATATTTCTCCATTAGAAGGTATTTGAAATAGTGTCCCTAAACTATGTGAAGAAACTAGCTGGACAGGGTGTGCTGACATCCTTAATAATTGTAGCAGAGATAAGCAAAATAGGCCCAGTTTCGCTATTACGATGCAGCCGCTTTGTCATTGTGAGGAAGGACTGACGGCAACCCCCAACATGGGCGACGTTCGTGCATCGTTTAATCGCTGTAGGCCCATCGACTGAAATAATAGGTCAAAGCTGAGTCTTTGGCCTATTGATGCTGCGCTTCCAGCTCCAAAATTTAGCCTCTTGGGCATTTCGGGGAGCGTGTTTTGTGAAGCAGGGGGAATTATGATAAGGTACTAGTAAATAAAAAAAGCTTCGGATAGACATTGTCATCATTGTATAGGTTTATTTCATTTTCACTTACTAAACTTACTGTCTATGAACGAAGAACAACGGAAAATGAATCCTGCAGATAACTACTACTAACTATATTAAAATTATAACTTCAGCATCATCGAGATAGCGTACAACTGTGACCAACAGCTATCTGGCCAATGCATGTAAAACTACAGGCCCGTCGTTACAGGTGTTAGTCTTCTCAAATCAATTGAAGTATATAAAAAATCTTCATAATACTGCTCGGGTGACAAGGTCCGTAACATAAATCTCGGGTTGACAATAGTGATTGGCACAAATTGCCAGTTACTCTTCTAGCTGGCTCTGCATACTGATCTTGCAAGAAGCGTACAAATAAAAATTCATATTATATACAGATACACTGAGCGAATGAAGAAAAATTAAAGATTATCTTAGCGATTCTCTACTTGCGTTCATTGTTCCAGCGATAACGGGTCGACGGTGCTAATACTTGCGAGACAATCTTATGCTGCCGGCCTGATTTTAGTCAAAAACTGTTTATTAAACAAACAAGCAAATATTCATTAATAGGCAAGCAATTTAACAGAAAATTCCTGCGGCCATTTTTTTTCAGTGTTCCAATGATCAGCCGACAAAAGCTAATCAACAACAGATAAGAACTCGTACGCCTACTCTGTTTCGCTATTCGGCTATGATTAAATATATATTTTTTTAAATGTGCTCAAATTCATGTATATAGAAGAAAGAACTGGCCCTCAAAAACCAAAAGGTCCATTAATAATAGCAGTATTTCAAAAACCCGTCGTATATTAGCGGCACAGGTCCACAAATGCGGCCTGCACTTCCTGGACCTCTGCATGCGCTAACCTCAAGCTATATACTTGTTCCATTTGTGATACATATAAATTTGAGACGATCGGTGGACGAAGGATACACTTCTAACAAAGACAGTCTTAAAAAATACACAAGTATCGTAAAACTGTGAAGTAAATATGCTTCCACCTGTACCATCAAGTTTAGCCGACGTATGTCGTTTTATAGTAGATTAGAAACAAACTGGTGATGTGTCAGAAATATTCACAGCCCCTACCAATCACTATGAAATTCTGATTTGTGGATAAGATATCGAGGGAGGATACCCGAAAGTTCTATTGCAGGAAGTATCTGATAACCGCATTCGTCCAAATCGTTTATCAGCTGTAACAGCGGAATACTGTGCTCAGATAAGGAGCATCGACGGGAGCTTTCGTTCGGTTAGCCTTGATTCATGTACCCCGTTCCAGGTCCAACACGTCAACTGTACCTACTGATTTCCAGAAGAAGATACATAAAACGTATTTTAAAACTAGAAGCAGCTATATAAAAGGAGAATTGATGATTGATTGAGAATTGAGAATATTGATTACTACAGCTTCTTGTATAAACTGCTATGGACAACCAAAGGATAATTTCTAAATTTTTTTGTTATAAACTTCGATACTTTAGTATGGTTACAACCGTTTTGAGGCAGCAAGGTCCAGCATTACTTAAATCTAAACTACACATACACTGATAGCTGAGTTTCTGAAATCGGCTGAAAATGGGTACTGACAGCAGTGTTCGATTTTCCCGTTCGTATATAGTGAAGGCGCTCAAATGGGTTGGGCAAGAATTTCGTATACGGAAAAATATCTGAGCGTAGGCGTTCTGAGGTACTACTTCTTAGTACATTAGGTAATACTGCTAGGATAAAGTTCATGAGTGCTACAAAGAAGTTGCTATGTATTGCAAAACAAATAATTGACGAAATCGACGACAGCATTTATAGCATGCGTTGCCCCCTACTGCGGCATACGGTACTTGCTTACAAAGTTGTACTACATTCAATGAGCACACCGATATGGCTGAAGTTTGTACGTTACATTTTTTTTTTTCCGGCATTGCAAAGTAGACAGGTTAACTTGAAAAATCCGTACAAACAGTATTCATAATCGCAATCGCTTATTAGAATTTGAAGAAAATTTGTACTCAAAAATTAACACAAGTAATAGTAACTATAACAATCACCACTGTTATCGTTGGCAGTAGACTGATAAAGGCATATTATTTTACAATATCCATCTCTTGCTTGAGCTAAAGGCCAAATGCTATTTTGAGCTAGACTTGAAGAAGACTAACATATCCAGACGTACACTATAAAGAGAAGACGTCGAGATTTATCGAACTGTTTGGGTTTGGTTGAAATAAAGTGTATCATTTTTTATTCGAGCAATTTCTAGTGTTTTCTTCACGGCTTGAACGATTCTAGCCTTATTTAAGCGTAGTACAAAAGCCCTAGCTCAAATATGTCTATATAGCTATATGCGAAACAATATGATTTTGCGTTGAAGATATGTATTGGCCGAAATATGACCCTCTGTGTTCTCTTCGATAAAAAAAAGTTGCAACTATGAATCGTATGACCGTAACGAGCCTCGCGTTGTGCATACATAGAGTTTTTCTAAAGTATACTTCTAAAGCATAACGTAAGATGTTAGCCGTTGCAAAATTCTGGGTCTTTGTCTGTGTAGTCAAGATGGCTCCGTTTTTGCACGGTGTCATTGCTCTCCTAAAACCGGTTATTTATGCGGTACAGAACAGTGTCTAATGGGTTAATCGTCTGTCCCGTACCGACATCGTGTTAGCAGCTGTAAGTATAGAACAAGATCGAGTCGCACGCAAACAGATAATATATTTACTGGCGTTCTTTCTTCGAACAAAACATCTAGAATCTGTACTTACCTGTGTACCCTACCTTACTTTGAATTAAGCCGCCAAACAGACAAATAATGCCTAATCTAACCTTCGCTAGCTCCATTATCCTTCTAGGTTCTGCGCATCGGTGCTGACTTTAACAAAATATGAGTATAGGTCACACTGACGAACAACCCCCAACACGTGTGCTTGAAGCCTACTCCAGCTTAATAGCTTGACCTTTCTTGGGTGCAGAGTTGCGCAAATCTCGCTGAAATGTACGCTCTACCGTTCTAGCTGTTCCATCTTATTGGGATTGTATCAGCTAATTATGAAAAATAATTAACGTGACATGAGTTACGAGGTAAAGTCTATACAGTGAATATTTGGTGAAGTTTTATATGAGCTTTTCGTGAGTTGAAAGTCTTAGAAATGAGGTCGTTCCGGAGAGGGAACGCTTACGATGGCTTTGGCTGATCCTCATTCTATCTAAATGCTTTTTAAAGATGTGTCATCTCCATCGCCGGATTGTCATGTCCAGAGTCTCTGCCGTTGTCGTAATTTGGCGGCGCACCGGCAATTGCAGGTACAGAATTTGCCTCTTCGACGCCAACTTTTTGAGTAGTTGAAGGCTAACAGAAGCAAACGAACAGAAGAGTACTTAAGAGACCCTCTTCGAAAAGTTTACCATATGAATGTAGTGTTCAATAATTATTATCTGCTTATAACTAGGATATTTAAAAAGATACTAGGTTGAAGAAAGCAGTCTCCTAATCGATTTATAAGATTATTCACACTAAGATAACTTTTCCATACGAGATCCATTAGTTTAGTAATACTTATCTTGTTATAAAAAAAATTGCTTTCTTTCTTTATGCCGGCAGTGACATTTCAAACAGTAATAATAACGGATTCAATTTCCAAGTACCAGGATTAATCGGTTTTGGGCCTGGAAACGTTTAAATAGGAAAGCTTTTCTGTGGAAATCTGACCTTCGAAGCAGGCGGCTTCAGATGTTCTTCACGGAGGTCGATACCAGCGATGCGATCTCGGATTACGCTCAGTAAAATCAATAGCAGCTGTAAAGTACGCCATCGATTGATTCAATATTTTATTGGTACAATGAATTACATTAATCAACGGGATGTGTCGCATCCAGCTTGTGTCGACTAAAAAAAGCTTGTCGAAGTACTTCTGATGAGCTCCCCATACTTACCCCAACAGCAAGTATAAAAGCAATCCATCCTGTTGAATACTCGTAGCTTTCGAGGTCGAGAAGGATTCCACCGATGATAGGTCCCGCAAAGCCACTGAAAGCATTCCAGTAAAGAATAAAATAGGCAGCTTCATAAAGACACCATCAAAACCATTTTTTCTAGATAGTGTACTTAAAATACACAAAGGAAGCATACATTGCTAACCTCGAATGGCGCAATTTTTTAAAATTGTATATTGTAAACACTAGATTTCAAGCTCTTACCCAAGTGATAAAGCCGATGAGAATATTCCCGCTAGAAGAGCGTACGTGCCGAAGTCATTGTCGAATCCCCGCGTTTGGCTGTACAGTTATAAAAACAAATGAAAAATACTATTCAGTTCGATAGAGTTTGGCTGTCGATGGAAGTGCACGAGGTAACGCTACGCTTCGTCTTTATGGCCCGTGTAAGCCTCGCCATTTTGTCATGCATCATATCTGTACGTGGACACCAGAGTTGTCCTTGGTAATTTTTCCTTATGCTTAATGATAACCTTTGGGTGATTACTTACGTGAGGAACATGAGAGTATGCATAAAACTGCATACGTATATCGCACCGTCTCCAAAACCTATAAAGGCCTGTGCCACCAGCACGATCCATAGTTGACTGTAATTTTGAGCGACAAGGAACTTGTGGCATTTGTGTGATCATGCATGCATCCTACCGTACATAAATTTCTGGTCATATATCTATCATATAATTATTTAATTCTCATTAAATATATGAAATATACTCATATTAATTATGAGGATAGGGTAATTTCTATTTAGTTCAGAATCGAATGTGCAAGCGGTCATCAAACTCTAAATAATTCGGATTTACTTCTGCTATTTATATGCCGACATTAACTATTTTTAAACTTACGCTTCGAAATTTAACCACGGTACTGGACCAAGGATCAGCAGGCCAAAGAGCGCTACTACACCGCCAAAGAGAACAAAATACCTGCCATCCGCCTGTCAATGAAGATTAGCCAAAACTGGTGAAAATGAATACCTTATGATTTGCCATTTTGAGAGAGCTATAGTTAGGTTAAGCCCCATAAGAAAATCTACGTTTTGTTAAGGGCAAGTTGTTGTCTTACATCTATAATTTGTCGTTAAAGAATATTATCTTACGAAAAAATGTAATACTCTGGTTACCTGAATTAAGTGACTAACATACATTTGCCAACGATTCACTGAATGTATTTATCGTGTTATTAATCACACTAGATATTTGATAAAATAACAAATAAATTACTCCCTACGAACCACTCTGCGGCAGAAGGCGCCCCATGTGATACTGCAAATTGCGTAAATGCCCCCAGGCACGATAAAACAGGCTCCTTTCGCACTCTCGCCTAGGCCAAACTTTCCCAGTTGGATGGACAAGGTCGCCTCATTGAAACTGATAAGAATAAAGCACACCACAACCATAAAATAGTTCAGAATCACCTGTGAAAAACGATTACATAAAAAAACATCATGTTATCTCATATTCATCTTACATGTTTTTAGGTAGGTAGGTAGGTAGGTTCAGGTGCAGCTAATTACGGAACCTCACGAATGCCTAGAGACTCTAGATGCACGCGAATTAACGTCCGTTAAACACAGATGCCCTAAGAATGATTTCGAAAAATCTAAAACGTAATGTCGCGTAAATCGTTTCATCTTGTGAGATATGCTGATAGATTTTCTAAATATTAGTAGTCGATTTTCGGGTGTCTAAATAATCGTTTATCTAATCGTTCTAGGTATTTGAGGAAATCGCCATTGTGCTACCTGTGGAATGTACAGGTCTTTGAGGCCTTTTTCGGGTGTTTTGTCTTGCGATTCTGAAAGAGAGTTCAGGACAAATAGGCAAAATAAATATTATAAACTAAATAATCTTGTAAGCATGTAAGATTTCACTGTGAGTGCTTCCTCGATTACGGTCAATATCAAAAACTAGATTCGAAACATGCGCGGTATTGATGTAATGACTACGCGCTGCGTTTATATAAGGCACTGTGCAAAAAAAATCTCACACGAAGCATAATAGACCCCCATTCATTTGTTTTTTAGCCAGTATATAACGGCGTTATGCCTTCTTGATACTTATCGTATTTAGTGCTTGAACGTATATAGCATATAAAGGTGCAAAAGCCTCTTTCGCGTCTCAATAAAACCTTAACAGTAGCGGTCTAAGGTCTCACTTAGTTCAGGCAAGAACGCTAGCGTAATAAAGGCGAACAGAATTGTGCAGGTGCCAAATAGCGCAAAAGGCAAGGTGTATCCACCAAGCTTCATACGTAGGCAGATCCGTAGAAACAAACAAAGAATAGCCAGCGGTGTATCCAGATGACAACATCGAATTAGGAATCAAGCGTTGGCGTTATTGCGCCCCCGAGTAAATGGTTCGTCACCGATGTCACGAATAGCAGCGCCACAGCCGTCGATTGCGGAACATGTCGCAGGTTACAATCCGAGGGGGAAATGGGAAAAATAGAGCAAGAACAAATAGATCAAAAAATAAAAACAAGTCAGGCGATACACATAATCGCACGTGTATATATGATTGGTGTTAATTCGTTGTTGATAGCTTCGTAATCTTTTTTTTTTTTTTTTTTTTTTGAAAACGATGGAAATACTTGACGAAGTAGCTTAGTAGTATAGATATTCATATGGGCATTCCAGATCTCTCTGCTAACTGCAAAGCATTTTAATAAAAACGAAAAGAACGACTCCATAATCAATATACTATTCGAAGTTCCTTCGGCCTAGTCTGAAGAACGCCGCTTGGATCCAAATTCGAGTGAACACTTAGTTAACTGAGCCTGAATGCTTTTCAAGAATCCTAGCAGGACGCTATTCGACGCTCAAAGCGAGCAGAGAACTACCGCACCTTCTATACTTACATCGAAGAGGCTTCCTCCAAGCGTTGGGCCAGTTATGATCCCGAGGCCGAAAATGGTCTCAATTAATGGCTAGAAAATGATCACAGCATACGTTATCCTAATGAATTTTTTTTGTTTATATATATATATATATATATATGTATGTATATATATATGTTGTTAACGCTACTAACAGTGGCGATCTATGAAGCATTTTCAGCACACGAGATCCATATGGTAATGCTCTACTTCACGGCTTAGGCAACAAATAGAGCGCGTGTATGGATCATTAGACCCCCATTTTGGGTATAATTCAAGTAGTGTTTTTCGTTTAGTATATAAACATACTTCGATAATTAGCGCCCTGATTTTGATACGGGTCTCTAGGTGCGCATATCGTGCACCAGAAACAATCAGACACAAAACGAAGTACGAAAAAGCGTTTCATCAGTTACCACAAGCACTACTGGGTGCTGGATACACCGCAGTGGTTCTAGCAGATCTCCATCATATAATCGCGTAAGGCATTGTTGACGATTCACTGTCGTTAGCAATAAATTAACGTGGTAAGAGCAGTAATTATTTACGCTTCTAATATATATATATTTGTTGAGAGAACTTAAAGTAACTCACGACGAAAAAGTGCACTTTTTCGGAAAATTCAGAAGAGGCTATAGCGTAGTAGCATGTGATGGATGCGAAAGAACCAATTGCTTCAATAAACCGAATTAGAACGCTAAGCGCGAAAAACCACTTCGAATCATTAACGTACTGAAGACTTCTGCAATAGTTGAAAAACAAACAAAGAAAAAACTGATAGTTTGACAAATTTTAGCGTGTCGTACTTATGAGTCGAGCCATGGAAAGCTGTTGTGCTATGGACATATTTCGTAGTCGACTCGTATACCACCTCAACTATGAAACATTGTCATGCAAGTTTAAATACGTTAAAAACGTTAGGTCCTGCTGGCGCACTCTGTTTTCAAAACCCGAGGCCCCTCTCTTGAAAAGACGCATGACACAAGGCCAGTTGTCGAAACGGCTGCCGACTTCGGAGTCAGATATTAGCGCGGTCTCCTCTTATGAAGCTTGCCTTTTTTTTGCGACCAAAAAAAGCTACGAAACAAGTCAGAAAATTGTGTCTCAGGAAATATCAGCCTTTTGTATCGAACAGTGAACCTCAATGAACCAATTTCGTCGAGTCGATAAATTTATTCAGTATATTAGCAGCGTGGAGGTTGTACTACTCTAAACCAACCTCATTCCCAGCATTTTTGAATAGAGCACAAATATTATATATATATATATATATTAGCCAACGTTTTTTATATAACAATAGTCGCCTGGAAGAATCGTTTTTGGACTTTTTTCGTGATTTAGACATTTCTCGTAGTTACAAAGGCCATAAAACGCTACGGCGCAGCGGATGCTTTTTGGTGAAATCAATCTTGGTTAATTCCAGCTTCTTCTATATGCATTGTATATCATGAGTATTTTTTACACCTTTAATTTTACAACTTAAATCGAAGTCCATGTCAAGTTTGTTTTGTTTAAGTTGACGCCTAACATGCTCAACCCCCAAAGTGGCCACAAGATTTGCAGCTGCAATAAATAGAGAAAAAAGAAAACTTGTTGTGAAATAACCAGGAGGACGTTATGGGCAAGACCAGTACATCTTTTCGACTTTTTTACATCATAAACTAAAATATATTACAAAAAAATACGCTTTTCTACGTCACTCGCACCTAACATTTGAAACTGTGAAGCACTGCGTTCGATATCGTTGCTAGAATCAGATTCTACTTTATCCAGAAGACCCAGCGCCTCCAGCACGTCTAGAGGCAAAATAAGATATCGTTTCTCAGCTGACCTTAGCACTTATTCAATAGGAGCCGGTAGTGGTGACTTCCGCTGTACTAGATCGTAAGAGCACTCACGTATAGAAAAAAATCAGAAACACTAAATAATACATGTCTACACGTTCGTATTGGTTGTACCCTTTTGTCGAAACCGATTTTTTGTGTCGAACCGTTATATTTGCACTCTTATGTTATTCCTCGACGCCAAGATAACGCAAACAATTAGCACTGGGAGATACTGCAATCTAATTCCTCTGGCTCAATTCTTACTTAAGTTTACTATCTACTACAACTTGTAAAAGTTTGAGACGCAATTTAAACGAGTTGAGACACATACGTATTTCTTACCACATTAGCTTGTAAGATTGACTTATTTTCTATGTTCGGGTAATCCCAAAACTACACAAACTTCTATATGTAATAAGCGTATTTGTCAGTCAGCGTTCCGGCCTCGTCGGCCGATCATCAATATGCCCAAAAATTGTTGTTTCATTCCACGAAACTTTGTGACCCCATAATTGACCAAGCGAGCTCTCAGAGAAATATCGTACAGAAAAATTATATCGGGTTGCACGGCGGATTCTGTGAACAGGTGACCGCCTGACTGTGTCTTGGACGATGGTCCGCTTTATCGGCAATCCGAACCATGTAAGCACGCTTTCTACTTTGTTTAGCCGTTTAGCGTCATGCATGAGGAGGCAAAATGGTTGACGAATGATAGATTACCCTATCTAAAATTCTCAGTGAGAAACTAACGGCAGAACATTAAACTTTACGGTTAGCATGACGCAGTAGAACGTTGAGGGGCATCCCCGAAAGACGTGTTTCGTCTGTCGCAAGTACAACGAAACGTTTACCCCGACAAGAAGAGTTATTCATGCATCAAATTGTTGTTTGACAAACCATCATGCGATTGGTAAGAATTGACGCCAATTGCTCGTGTTCTCAATGACACGTGACTGTCATCTTGTGACTTTTCCTTGCAGGAAAAGACCCATTATAAAAAGAAGTATGATAAATGTTCTTTCCCTTTCAACTCACACGGAGTGAACGATTCTATGGAACAGAAATTCTGTCCCTTTTCATTTTGGGCTCACAGTTCAGAACACATAAGAATTTGACGTTGATGAATTAGTGTAGATGGAACAATCGTCCATACTATCGCTTGAATCACGTAAATACTCTATCGATATATCTGTTTTGATTGTCTAATATTATCGTCATTAAGCAAAAACGAGAATACGATTAGGACAAGAAGATATACGTTTCATTCTATATAAGGACAATTGGCCTAGATGAACTGACTATCGATTAGAACGGTATTGGTATTTACCATGCTATCATTATCTACGTTGCGTTTTCGGCCCAAGTTTAAGTTTTTTCTTTATGTGTTTCGAGTACGACCGCTACTCACCCCATCATAATAAGAAAAATCCCGTCGATTAGCATTCCGCAGATGAGCATCGTCTTTGGTTTTACTTTCATTAATAACTGCAACGCCGTATATCCAAAAAAAAGAAAAAGTTTATAGAACAGTTACATAATAACGTACCTTGTCAGAAGGATATACTCGGCCAATATGGTTAACTTGAAAAGTACTATATTTATTCAGCTCTTCATTGTTTCTTCAATGGCTACCTCTTAGATTGATTCGTGGACGATTTAACCGTTGTGATTACAAGAATGGCATTGGAGACGATGCGTGCTTAATTTATTGCACAGTTTATTACATGTACTTAGTAAAATATTTTGCCGATATCCTTCAAAGCACGATGTCGTTACATTATGTACTGGCTTTTATCATTACGTTGTTGTACTGCTGTGACCTTGAGAAGTGGGGCTGATTCATGAACTGCTAGGTAGATGTTCACTGTTTGAGGTGAGAAGACCCGTAAGTTCCCCAGTTTATATGTAACTACACTAACTCGCCACGCGATACGTTACGTCACGTTAGTCGTGTACTTTTCTATTTTTTTACGATAGTTCTTACCAGTTTTCCACAAATAGGACTGAAAATAAACCCAACAAATGGATAGGTTCCGAAGACGATGCCAAATTGTGTCGCAGAGTTTCCTTTGCTTTGTGCCTGGGGGATAAAGTGCATAATGATCTCATTATTTAATTTTTGTCAAAAAGACTTTATCCCGAACCACTGATACTATTGTTCATGACACGTACAAAATATGACGTCTTTAGTTGCACTGCTTTCAAATCAAATTTCATTCTTTCTTTGCCGGTTCAGAATACGAAGTGCAGCGCCAAATACGATGGTTAGTCTTCGGTGAAGTATTTCGTTCGAACCTATTCATAGTAAGCGAGCGCCTTCGAAAAATACGGCTTACCTCATCAGGGAAGAACGGAGCCATCAGAGCATAGCACGAGCTTTCAAGTAGCGTTCCTTTACACAAACAGATTAGATAAGTTAGATTCAATTGCCCAGCTTGTGTTTTCTATTGTCTTGCTTTTTTATAGCTCCGTTAATGTATGTAACGCAGCAAACGTCCGTTGGCTAGCTGGTAAAAATGTATCTATCTACTTATACTGGAGCTTGGTGCTCTGGTTGCGTACGTGACAAATGTCGCTTAAAATATCGAGTGCTGATCTTCATTCGAATAATCCGCGAAATAATAAGCCTCGGAAACGTGGCCGCTTACGATTTTAGGGGACAGGATCCGACATAAAGCCGGAAGGCAATATGGCTAAGTGTGGGTTGGTCGTAGCGAGGTAACTAGGTTAGTGGCAATGAGCAACAGTGCCAATGTCCCAGCAGAATGAGTGAGCGAGACGGGAACGTTAATGCAATGTACCTGTATAGATACGATTGCGATATCTGAAAACATAAATTCACTAATGAGAACCGCAACCCCTCATACCAATGACAAGTATTGTAAGAATGATTCTGCGTCTTCTTGTCCACACGATACCGAGGGTGCCGGGCTTACGGAGCTCTCCGTAATTGTCCATTTGGTTGAGATCGGCCATTCTCAGTTATTGTACCTCTGAGGCACTTCTTCACCTGGAAATACAAATGCCAAGATATAACTCATTTATTTTATTTGGCACCAATGGCTGGACGAGCCCTAGGCTATAAGGCCCCACGCTTCCTACCCTCGTCAGCGTTGCTTTCTAGACCGTAAGTACTCCGCCTGTTACCAGCGTTAGTTGAATTCGCTTTTTACTACTGCACTTGATTGACACGTCTGCTTTTGTACTCATTGATGTTAAAACACGCACAAAGGGTTAACAATCGCTTTTAAGTTGTTCAGAGATGTGGCAGAGCTATAGATATCCTCAGATCTATGATTCCATAAGGCTTCATCATTTGCGACACTGTAAAAAAATCAAGGAATCAATTTGATCGTTAAAATCGCGTTAAAAAATGCGACTGGTCTGTTCATTGTTGCCAATCGTTCAACCACTCTAACTGTTATCACAGCCGAAAAAGTATTTTCCAACGTCTCAATGGGCAATTTGCTGAATTGATTGAATTAAGCAGACAGAACACGATGGCCATTAAAAAGAGCGGAAATGTATTTTGTACATCTGGAGCTTTGTTATCAGACGTGTTCCGTTTTTGTCATCAAAAGCATTTTTATTTGTTCTATTTTTTGCTTTCTTACTATTTAGTTCTACTGTTCCTATCTAGTCTACTATACCGATAGTAGGCTTTGTTTGTGTCTTGTTTAGTTATGATAAAGTGATTTGGTTATTACCGTTGGTGAAGTTATGGTGAAAGAATACCGATTAAAAATTGCGGATTTATCCTTTTCATCATTTAATTGGTCATGCGTCCTTGTAACCATTTTCCTGACTGTCGATGCAAAAACGTGTTGGTATCGTTTCGTAGCAAGGCGGGTTACTTAATAAACAATCACAGAGACAACGATTTGACAGATCGATTAAGGTAAAAATGCTACTACGGTGCCGCAATGCAAAATAATCGTCAATAACACCAAAGAAGAACTCGAAACTGATATTATTACCGTTATAAGAAAAGCCGCTGCGAAAAGCAAGTCCTGCACAAAAAATATCGCCATGCAAACAATGAACCTAATGGAAAAAATCTAGGCTCAAGTTTCACTGGGGGATGAAGGGGGCAAAACACCTGAGCTATACAGTTCAACCTTCCTTTAAGTGTATCCTACAGAACTCGTTGAACAACATTATTAATTTAGTTTCGCTAGAACGGGTCGTACTGTGCTCACTCTATTGTGTACAATGTATTATATTAACTCTACGATCGTATTGAAATGAGTCTTCACAGCATCACCATCATCAGATCAGCTAAGATCAGTATAGCAATGCGGAGGCAGATTTGTTCGAGTAGTTTTGCCATCCATCCATCCGTCCACCGAGACTGAATCAACAAGACCGACACCCCCTCTTGCAAGGAATGCGACGACGCGCGACTCGTTTCGGTCACGCACAAAGATTCATTTTGGTCGTTTGATCACCATCCTAAACTAAACGTCTTATAAATCCTAGCGGTGATCGCTAAGCGAACGAAAAATTCCCCGTCGTTATTCTAGCTCTTTCCAAGAAATGAGTGTTGCCTACAATTACTCTGGCACCTGAATGCGAAGTGAATTAATACGACAATAATAATATAAATGCTCGTTATAATTTCTATTGAAAATCAACGACTGTGTCCTTGTATCAGTAGGTGCCAAAACAGGTAGGTGTTTGATCGCAAAGTCGGTGCGATTATACCTGTAGTTGGTTACCTTGCGCTGCTGCTCCGGCCAACGTGGTTCTAGCAGCTGTTCAATGAAGTCGCCGGTGCGCATCTGCACTCATTTCGAAAAAAAGACGTCAATAGTTCTGTAAAAGCAATCTTGACAATATGCATCGGCAATGACGATGAACCACCCCATCAGTACCATCGTTAATGATACCGTTGCTGCTGTCATTTTCAACGGCCATCGCTTTTGTTAAACACGTTTTACCCGCGACAGTCGGTCCAAAGGCGGTGGCGAAATTCTGAAATTAGTTGCATTGTAGCATTCGTCCGTCTACTATAATGCTATAAATCTAGTTACTCTCCTCGACAACGCCGGCGGAAGTAATAAAACGTAACAATTTGGCACTAATGGGCAACCAAAAGTCACGCAACGACTCCCACACTGAGACGCCATAAAATGACTAGGAAGATCGATAGTGATTAGCGTCAGGAAGACTCACTTCTGCTGAATAAAGTAGCGACTCAAAAACAATCTACATAGCGAATAAACTAAGGATTTGCCCACGATCAGGGCACAGCGGGTTATAAATAGCGGTGTTGACTCCTGCACAACAATCACGACGGCGTACTACGGAAGAAATACTGAATGGAGGGGTTTCGTGGGTCGAAACTCGGCAATCCTTTTTCTTTTTGAGTAGTCCAAGTACTCAGTATCAGTTTCTCCACGATCTAGCTGCGACGGCAACGAACTCAGCTAGAGGAGACTAAAGAACGACTAGTTATTTTTGTCGAGGCTTACAATTACAAAGCTCATTTATTCAGCATTGCTAGTTGTGGTGAAATAATTCATATGTGCAAGTTGATAACCGCATCAGAACGAGTGTATAAAATTATCAAAACACCTTGCGTCATGTAAATAATATGAGTCTTGTTAAGGGTGTAAAATTAATATCAGAAATTTGTGCTGAACATGATATCAAGAGATAACAATGATATCTGTCCTAACTGCTCCGCATCTGGAACAACTACATATATCGTCAACCTCGTAGAAGCCTGATTTCCTGCAGGCTCTATAATAAAGCTCCTCCAGTGCAAAACGAGCAACTACGTCTTTGTTTACCTGGTTCGTTTTTTGTTATGCGTTGTCCTCATCGCGTCCAAGCGGTCGCGTGGCTACGATAAGAACAACGCCGTCCACGAGCAAGAGTATCTTCAAGTTTGGAAACCAGCCAACATAGTAGGGCTCTTTATGGAATACAGAAGGGATAATGGAGCAGGAAGATGCCGAATTCTAACAAACACCGAAAAATATTACGGCGGAATTCTAAATGAAGTAGAAAAAACCTATGAGAAGAAGTAAAGGACAAAATAAGGATAAATAGCAAAATATATAGAAGCAAAAAATTGTCAACATCCCAAATAGCCCATTGGATAAGGTTCTTATGGCAGTAAAACGGATTAAAACTGGGAAAGAGTATGGAGGAACATTTTTCCGGTTGCACTCACCGAAATTCTCTTCAAAAAGTTCCCCGACAGTGCACCTACGTTGATCTAAATGACCTGTGAAGGGCAGTATTTTCAAGCCGATGGAAAAGAAGGAAGAAGTCCTTATCCCTAAACAAGGGTATTTCGACGTCCGATTCGCGCGTCAGCGACTCTTGCGAAAGGTTTCGAAGCTATAATAAACCAACGCCTGCATTATTATACTGATGTATTTACAGTAATCAAAATAAACTCCCAAACGAAGTTAGAGGCAACGAAGTCTAACAGAGATCTGGGGTAGGTAGCGAGGCTGAACGTCAAAACGTATTCAACAGCCCGCCGTGGAAAACTATTTGTTTTTCGTGACGCTTGTCACGCTATGTCATCCGACTTTTCATAGCGTATTTCATTAGCCCAATTTTTAATTATTCAGTCGACCGAAGCGTCTGTAATGGCAAATCGAAATTCCCTTTAACGGCTAGAATCCTGCAGGATCCATGCTAGGCTTTTTAGCTAGGTCTGATACGATAGGTCAGTGAAGGTGCACCATCAAGCCTACACAGATAAAATTACAATAAAAGCTAGGGCTCAACAAGCAAGACACCATCTCAGATCGCAATGTGGGTACAACAATGCGGCCTGAAGTGAGCATTCCTGAAGAGCAAGGCCTTCTCATAGAAAACGAGCAGTGCTTACACGGCATCTGCATGGTTTGAGAAGCCAGAAATAGACCTGCGAGTATGGCCTTAGCACGCGATGCGAGAACCACTGCGCAGCAGATATTAACATTAGCCATGGCCATGTCTACGAAAGCATTTATGCTACAATGGAGCATCGATAAGGCACAACTTGAGCATCATCATCATCTACGATTATAACGGAGTCGCAATATATCCATTCATATGGTCACATCAATACATTGTTTTTCTTAGTTCAATTTCCTTTGGTATTTTAAACATGGCCCAAATAGAGACATAATGTTTGGAATCAATTTTGAATAGATATCTTAGAAAAATCTTACCATAAATAGGTATATTTAATTACGATTAGAATTAAAAACAATTAAATCCTCGAAATTCTACTGTGAATGTTTGTATTAAGTGTATATAGATTATTAGTCAGGTTTTACTGGTTTAAGGACAACTAATATTGACTGGGTAGGATGCGTTTATTTTTATTGGACTGTCGATGGATGATTCTTTACGCTGATCGTTTCCAATGTCGTCATCATTATGGGCTTATCATGATACATTGATTTTGAGTAAATTTAAAAAAAAAAAAAAAAAAAACTCTAATCATATAGAAATGGAACAGTCCCAACAATTGTATCTGAACAATCTAAACCTGACCTTTTTGGTGAGCTGTTAACGTTTACCAGAGATGTGGAATGTGTGTTTTTTTTTTTTTAGTCGACTCGTTAAGACATACATCGAAAGGCAGAGTAAACGCTTTCTCATCCGTATACTGAAACGACCACACGAGCTCTTTACGAAAAGTCCTTTTGCAAGCGTGTGCGAGTAAAAATGAAAAAAAAATAAGCACATATTCCCATATAGAAAATGCCTATACACAACAGTTAATTAGGACGGATTAAGGCCTCCTTCTTAAACACATATCATCAAAAATGAAGTCACTGAGTCGTAAGTGTGAACAAAATTTTCATGAAGCGTCACTGTCTGTTTACAAAAGTGAGCTAGATTTCGTCAGTATAAATTAACGCGTTGAAGTCCATGAGGAGGTTGTTTTTGTCGATTTCATGTTTTAATACTGCGTGGCTTATTTTTACTGACATTTAATGTCAGTTACGAAGAATAACTATCGTCTCAGTTTCTATAACGGAAACCAGTAATAAACTCCGTTGTAAATTATTTAGTATCTGTAATGATGAAACTGACGGATGTTCTACAGAACGGAGCGATTGGACTTTTCATTCTAGAAAAAAACAAATTCGGATTATAACAGTTTATATCTCGATATTAATAAACATCACCGCACATTTTGTTTTTTGCTTTTCTGTTTCGTTAGAAACCACCCGAACTATTCTAGAAATAGAAATAGAAATAATACGTAGTAGAATAGCTATCACGTTTACGTCCTGAACAGAAAGTGAAGCAAAACAGTGGTCCTTATCACGCCTAAATAGACCCTAAGTGATCCTGTCCGGATTCTACCGGTTGCTACCGGGTATTAATGGAAAACCAACCAGAAGAAAGCCATTAATGATTTCCTTGTTGTTTTATAATAGAAAAAAAAAAAAACTACCAAGTACTGATTCTATTGTTTTTTTAATGCATGTCATTTAGACAGCGCGGCCCTTTATCTTTTCAACAATTTGCTCACCAACTTTCCAATTGAATGCCTCTTTGCTTGGAGGCCAGAGACTAGCTAATAAAATTAGCCCTGTCGGCGTTAGCCCCCCTCCGGGGGGCTAACGCCGACAGAAATCGCTGCCACATTGAGGTGACAGAAGTAGGCTCAAAATGTCACGATATCACGGTAGCGTTCCAGAACACTGATCGTTCTATGGACGAATTCGGGCAAAGAGAAGGTCCAAAGAATAGCAAAGGCCAGGCCAATACCATGACACTCTGTCGTCCCTCATAGCAGCCTTCACATTTGGTAACATTGCGGGCCTTGTTGTTCCCAATGTCACTATCATCGCTGTTTTTACTGTAACCGTCGTAACATAATTTTCTATTGTTATTGCAACGATCATGTGCGCTCAAAATAATATACCAAAACGAATCTTTTTCCTTCCAGATCAGTTGTAATAACGAGCTATATCGTCATTTCACTAACAATGTAAAAATCTAACTGTTATGTAAAAAGATGTTATAGCATAGCCAAAACACGTTACCCATTGAAGCTGTTAAATGAGTCTGCCATGTTTTGTATAACTATGTACTTCAACTACTTGACACTTACTATACACCGTCTCATTCGGTTCAAATACTGCAACACACAGAAAATTAGTTAGAGTGACGACGGCGATTGGACCATCAATGTTGCGATAAACATTCTCCAGTATATTTTTTTTTCATTCAATCTACTTAATTGTTAATTAATTCTACTTAATTGTTAAGCCCATGTCTGTTATAAGAAATCAACGCCCACCTATGCGAGCCACCTAGAAATGTATATCTAAATAGATCTTGTTTAGGAAACTATTTTACTACTTCTGTAACACGTCCCTGTTGGCGCAAGACTAAATTATCGAAGCTGATTAGAAAACAAATAATAATTACAGTGATTTATGGCGAAATTTTAAAAATACTATTGCTACTTCCAGTAATGAACTCGTTGGGTGCCAATAAAAGTTTCCTTCAGACCTATGATGTGGCTCGTAGCTACTCGGACCACCCGTATCCACTTCATAATATACTGGATCTTAAAAATAAACCTCATTTATTTAACTATAATTTACCCGGACGAGTTTGGTGAAAGCATTAAAATTAGGCGAAAGACAATTCGTAACTCTGCAAGATCCTTTCCGCGCTCAATGCAAGACTTTATCAGACAACTAACTGAATATCCTGCGACAAGTCTCTGACCACAAACTAGACCGCGATACATCGACTTCGAAAGATAGAACTGAATTAGAATCGGTACAAGTCATCTGCCGGCTATTTTCAATTTCAAAAGCTACTGATAGGGGGCGATAATAACAAAACGAATACTAGCAGAAGTCACCCGCGTGCGTTCGAAGCTCGTCCTCGTCGCTAGTGACGTACCTGAAGACAGCTACCCGTATTGATCATGCTTTGCAGAACGAAAGACCCGTTGTCGCCTCATGCTAAAGACCAGTACCGTTTGATGCATATCTCAGATATTGAAGTATCCAATGGCATTTGTGCAAGCCAGCCGAAGCGCAACGGAAGTAAATAAACTACGACATGAGATATCGCTGCCTCTCTTTCTACTTCATCCTACATCGAGGAACTACTGTTCGTTTCATCGTCATGCATTTAAACAGTTAAGTGCCGCTTCAAGCGGCGGGCTCCCAGCAAAGAAACAATGTGAGTCCATGTTCGGATTTAAGCCTAGGTTACCGTATCCGTAGGTTCAGTAAGCAGACACGCTGGGCGCTTGAAACAAACAGGCCGCGTGTCTATATATGATATAAGCGTTACCGATTACGCCGTAACGTAATCAGGCAAGATCTTGGCTATTTAGGGAAGATCATTTGTTGACGTCAATCTCGTTGCCCGGCTCTTCGGGCACATGGTCGTGTACCCATGCTATGCAGTCACAATGGCTAACGACTTCCTGCAAGCGTTATCTCGAAAGATCTTATATTGTAAACTAGCCGTAACGCGGACAAGAGGCCGATGGAAAGCAAAATATAGGTTAATGGCACTTGACGATCGTAGCGTAATCTATATTTTTCCTTTTAATATGGGAGAGACTTAGTGAGACTTCTATATGTTTACTGTTATACCTTTTCCCTCCACTAGTTCCTGTGTTCGATGTCCACCGCGATTCCACGAATGTTCATAAAGACGCTCGCGGGCATTCATTTCCTACAGCCAAAAGTAAAGATCAACGGGAACACCGAAAGCCAACTCTCAATAAATTGAAACTCTCAAAAAATAAACGTAACTTTTCACTTTTTTTCCCCCAACTAGCTCTCAATTTGCAACTTATAAATTTTTAACCTGTCAGTTATAAATAACTTGACATTTACGCACATACAAATTGTTACATTCACATACGCATACGCATACACATACATACAAATTACAAACAGAAGGTAGTTAAACGTTACAAAATTTCGGATGGTATTTTTTGACGAGCGAGCTTTTGAGAATCCTTTCTAATGCAAATCTTTCCTTTAATAATGGTCAGATCAGTGGTAAAATCTGACACAATTTCCCTTTCGCAGTAAAGTTAATAGCTATCATTTCACTGACCAGAGATCCAAAGGAAATGTTATCCTTAAACAGTTCATTGTTAGCCATCTCGTAGATTATCTTACTAATAACGAGCCTAAATAATAATAATGAGATATCAAAAGGGCATTCATAGGCATACGGCTTATCTCTACGGATTAAGGGTAAGGGATACATTTAAAGTAACGCCTTGTTGGTTACACCTAAACTTTAGTAACTTAGAGTTTTATTACACATTATATACAGCCTGATAAAGACTACCATCTTTCTAATAAAGAGTTATTCTCTGTTTTATTCTATAGATTAACAATGTTATGTCAGAAGGTATCACACGTACAAATACGCTGTTGACAGGATTTTTCAAATGGCGCAATATTTCTATTGCTCCCTATATAAGTATTCAGAATTTACTTAATTCGCACTATATAAATGATCTAGTAATTATGAATTGCTGATTCAGCGCGCGACACCAAAGCGATCGTTACCCCCCTAACTTTAACTTTGAAATTCGTTTTACAGATATTCATGATTAAGTCAAAGCTCTTTTTCTCTGTATAGGTCTGTTCATTGTTTTGTAGTAGAACATTGAAAATCTTTCCTTATCGTTTCTAAAAATCTTATTTTGAGCAAAACCATACGGCGCGACGTAGAGGAGGCGTGAGCACGACTTATCAGCAAATCGTTTAACCGTAGACCTCACGACCTGGCCAGGCATTCATTGTATCCTCCACAAGAAACTGGATACGAATTGTCATATGTGTGGATTATATCCACCTTACGTCAACAAAGAAAGGAGCTCTTCAGTGAACCTTCCCGCTCCAGAACAAGCAGAATGCTACGTCAATGGTCATTCGTATAGTACAAGTACGACACACGAACGTATCGGTAAACGTCAAAGGTCTTGCTGGAATTTTACCGTAATGCTGCATGTCTTCGTATTGCGTCTTCGGCATGACATGCATATTTGTTATCCGTTCCCTTCGAGCAAGCGATTGCTGGGTTGCTCCTGGAGCCACTCGCAACGGCGCGCAACCGGCCTCATATTCAACCATATTGCTGGGGTGTAGGGGCAAACGGAAACTTCTACTCTATTGTTGGTTCATAGCTATCCTGACATCACAGCGTAGAGTTTTATTGCCGGTTTTTCCTTGTCAGTTTGCTCATCGTAGGCAAGAAAAATGCTCCAATCGCGTCAAAGTTTTGCTTCTAGTCAGTAGTTCGTTCTGTCTGTCTGAATACAGCGATACTCCTTCTCATAGCCGCGATTCGGTCCGAATCGTCTTTGATGCCTTGTCCCATTGAGCTGCTACTGTCACAGAGGTCGGTGCCTGTTTCCGGCCAAAAACAATCTCTATTTTAATGTGTCTCTGACTCACGTTTAACGTGAAAATTTTGGCCGATTCTCACGGTCTCGACATTGTCAGCTTGTCGTTTTCAATAAAGTTGCGTACATACTCATAGCAACTGATATCTTAGGTCATACTCAGAATTGTCAGCCGTAATGGCTTGCAGAAGTGCACGTACGCTAACTTAATGTTTCTGTAAAAAACATGGCTTGTAAACATGTACTGTTATCCATGTAAGGGTAGACAAATCCCATTGGGTAATAATAATAAAATTTGAAGACTATTCGCTGGCTAGGATGTGCATGAAAGAATTCTAGTCTATCTATTGACACATACGCAGTTCAGTATAGAATACAGTAGACGAGTCTCTTAACAACATTCTTCGAACTTGTCGATGTGGTGTTTACTTCTGGAGTACGGCTTTTTTTTTTTTTAAAATAAAACACGTTTCCGTAAGAAAGAGAGGTGTCCGTTTACGGCAACTCTGTAATTATTTGCAGCGCTCATAGATGACTGGTTTTCTTCAGCAGAGTATCGATCATCGATTTAATCTCGACTCTTCCGAGGTGAAATCTAACCGTGTGTCCATGTCGCACTTCGTGTACTCATTTATCTCCTTTGGTGGCATTCTTAGTTTACTATTCATTGTTTAACGGTAAAAATGGAAAAGATATTCTTATATCGTTTGACAAATGTATACTTAATTTCGTCACATATGATGATCTTATTGTCTTCTCAGCGATAGGTGGGAGTAAATGATACTTTCCCACACGTGTACAGGCCCACCAGCCATAGTCGATTTACTACAGATTTTTACGTTTTCGTTTAGAAGCTAATGCGGCTTTCTAGTTCTGACAGATCGTAATGGTCTCAGCACACAAAAACATCGTGCCTTTTCGCAGGGAGTTTTTAGAGGCGAAACGGTTTGTGCGTTCATTTGGCAGAGAGAGCCAAAGAAGAATGTTCGATCTTCAGTGCAAACACCATATCTATCGTGAGGTGAAATAGATTAAATTAGATTTGCATCGTTTGTAGAGGTTTCGGCATTGAAAGACATCAGCTCTTATAGAAATCGTAGCATGTCACTCTTTAATCTTTCTCTATTTTCAGGAGAAAAAAAAGCTACCTTCGGTGTTTGATTAAATCCAACTATGTAACAGCTTGATGTGCTACAATCTTACTGCGCAAGACTGTATAAGAGATCTTATAAACCTAGTACCTCTCAGATAGATTCTTTCTGACGGCATGGAACGAAACGCTCTGGTTATCACAGAAACAGGTTATTTCGTCAAAGTTTGTCTACAACACAAACGGCAGTGAGGTGACTATATTCACTTAAAATTTCTACCCTGATACAGTTGGATACAAGGTTTTATCTCATCTCTTTTTCGAATTAATTAAATCCGAGACGATTTCATCAAAAATTACAGGAAGTACCCCCTGTTGTCGTACTTTCTCCCTGTCTCCAAAGATGATCACATTTACTTTCATATTGTCGCCTTTAATACGCTCACAGATACCAACGTTACACCCTTTTTCGCCTGTCTAAACACCTCCATTACCAAAACGAAGGAAGGCAGACACGACCAAAGCTCAGCATTCATTAGCACTTTCCTGTGTCTCATATGTTATTATAATCTTCCTAGCCGTTCGCGACGCCAATCAGCCACAAGAAAGAAAATCGACAAGATGTCTTCCTTCTTAGTTTCGAACAATTCACGAATTTTCAACCGGTCGCAAGCGTCAGTCCGACGCTACGCGTTGTTTGACGAACACTCGACGGACTCAACCGACGGAGTGTATTCATTGTACGTTCATGCGGCAATTTCCGGGTATCGCGTAGACCGGGAACTGACCAGTTAACAGAAAGCAAACAAACGTTTCTTTAGGATTCCCGGAAAGCGACGGCGACACGCCAGTGGCTAGCGTACACCTGGCGACAGAAATGACCACTTGCCAGAAAACGTGGCGCGGCCCAGCGCGCGATAAAGGTTAGAGCTGCTCATGCTGAAAAGCGTCGTCCGTTGAAAACTGTCTGATCCTTGGGGCACTCCAACGACGCCGCCATAGTTGACTCTATAGTCGCTGTTCCATGAGGGTCTGCATCAAACCACAGAGGACGTAAACAGAACAAGATTTCCCACTATACACCTTACATTGTCACTCTCATCTCAGATCTTTTCAGGTCTTGCTCGATCGTTTGGTATCATCGAATCAACAGTAACATGCATATATTTCACATTATATTATACTTCAGACATCAATAGTAAAAGTTGACGACGGTCGCCGTGAGCGTTACCCAAGTTACTTTGAATAGTATTTAACTATTCGCACGACGGTATCTCTCAAATTCCTACTAAAACCTTTCAACGACCTTTACAAACTTCGCCGTCAAATCCGATAGAGGCTTGATTACGAGACACATTGCTTCAGAATCAATTTACGAAAGTCTAAAGGAATTTTGCCAACCATGATGAGTATCTCATTGTTTAATGTTTCAATTATCTATGGGCTACGTACATTTAGAGTATAACCCATTGTTTTGCAAGGCCTAAAAAGCCACGATTGACGAGTGCATGTTACAATAACGAAAATTGCGTAAGTTGTTATTTTCATATCGCCGCTTCTTAACGGTAGACAACTATGTCAAATTAGTAACATAAATTGGTTGGTGCTGCTGCTGCTGCTGCTGCTGCTGCTGCCTCGAGTAAAGAGCAAAATGGCCGGATCTATTCGCTGCCATTGTAATGAAGTAAACTATGGTTGTATTCATTTACGCGCCTCGATGGTCGTCACGGAAGACAGCTCAGCTGGGGACGGTTACCTGGTCGTCAATCTATAATAGCAGGTCTATTCTCCGCTAATCAATATACCATTAGCGCAACTAATGGAAATAGGCACGCTTTACCCACCACACATAGTTGGTATATTTCTGTATATGCTATTTCTGGGTAGCGGAGTCGAAAAGTTACTGAATGTCTTATTTACAGCTATGCATAGTGGCGGGAAGAGGCGGGCGTGTGCATAGGGCAGTTGAGGAATATTATGAATGGAGCTGTTTGCTTTCATCGGCCAAAGTTGAGCTAACGGTCAAGGGGCATCTGTAGTGCATTTTTCGATTCTTGACTTGCTTCATATCCATGATACAGTTCTAGTAGGCATAAGGACACATGAAGTAATCTAGGTTCTTCTAAAGCAATGCGGTAAGATCTGAAACATATATTTATTTACGTTTCATGTTTCCTCTTCGAACCTCGTTATCAAGTAAATACGTACGTTCGACTGGTGCACGCTTCATGTTCAAGGTACGCGTTGCGTTTTTTAGTACTCTGAATTTCTTCTGCCAACAAACTCTGTCAAATCTCATAAGCGCACAAAGGAACGTTTGCCATTCATTATCCGTTCGGGTGGAGAGCTAAGTTCATTTTTCTAATCCACACGCAGAACGTTCGGCAATGTACATGAAAGAATTAATAATTCGCTAACTTAGATTATACCCCCGTCTCGCTAAATCACCCAGTTTTAGATAACCGTGACGTGATTATAGGCGGACTACACGTCGTAGCAGCGCAAACAGCTAGACTTACACGCTAAGCATAGTTTTATGAATTTTAACTACACCAAGATGTACATATTTTCATTAGATTATCGCTATCCGATCAATAATGGAATTAACTCATTCTTGCCTGTTGTGTTCTATCTACTTGTTTCTCATATTCCAGCTGGTCGTCTGCCAGTGTATCATCAGTAAAAGGAACACAGAGAAACGTTTCATAAACAAGCCACTACGCACGCTTCCCGTCCCAGAATTTTCATGTAAACCAATGTGCCGCCTGAATTTCTGAGATGGAACCATAAATTTCCCTAGGGCCATATCATGACCACGAACAGGGTTCTATCTTACCGGGCGAAAGAAAAGGCCACATGCGCCACTAATAGAATGAAGCCACGTGCAGATGAATTACGCAAACTGACGTACCGGCGCCAAAAACAGCGTTTTGCTATCATTCGCGTCCGTTTTATGCCGCTATCGGTTATGAGCTGTTCGCAAATAACGATTGACGATTAAATGAAAAGCTTCTGCGGCCGGACTGGGTGCTACCCCTGCTTGATGAATCGCCAGTGGCGGCGCGTTTACCTGAGTTTGTCAAATCTTCGAAGCTCAGTGCCGACCAAGCGAAGGGAGGGTGACCGTAGCGAATGTTTCCTGACCGGTTCCGATCGAAGCGACGGTATTTCGTCTCTTTGCCGAAATCCCGCTTTACGCCTATGTTTTCTTGATTCGTAGTCGTAATAGTGTTATTTCGGCAGCAGTGAGTAGAGAAAAGTACGGGCGGATTCGGGCAGGGATATCGCGTGGAAGTGGCTCGATCCAGATATCATTAGACTAACTATCCGGCCGGCTGGCTGGCACAACAGCGCCAATAAATAGTACTTTATCACAGTTTAGAATAATCGTCTCGCTCAAAGTCGCAGTCGGTATAATCCAACCTGCGCGTGTAGCATACCGCTCGTTCGATGTAATACTGGACCTTTTCTCTATACGCTCGTTAAATGAATGGAATTTGCGTTCATTTTTAGATTTATATATATATATGTATGTATATATGACTAACAATGTATAATAATGATTCTATGATGAGTGTGGGCCATAAATATAGACAAATGACACCTACGGACGATCCAGAACGGGTAAATGCGGAAAATAGGGGAAACTATATGTGTTAACTTTTACTAGCTCTATCGTAGGCACACTAACGCAAGCGTTTGTCTAAATCACATGCTTCATAGAATAGCACGAAGCGCTAATATAACATATCGTTAGTAATTCAGTACCGAAACAAAAACAAGGGTGTTACACTAGTGGTCTCAATAACGGAAATATTACCATTTGTTAGATTAAAATAGAGGTTAGGCGATGGTGCTAAACGCATCAGGTACGTTGTCAAATGCTAAAGTGATAGTTAGCGATAGAGTATGAATGTCGATACATTTAATTAAAACTGAACAGGGTCTGGTAACAAATGAAGATTTCCCCGGAATCTATTAGAAAATCCGCTCTAACGATGCTCATGATTTTTTTTTTTTGTTCATATCACAAATAAAGTTAAAGTAGCAAAAAAAAAAAAAATTCGTGCGTTGAAAATATTATAGACGAACAGAAACGACTAGCAGTAGATAACTCATGGTATATTTCATCTGAATAGTATTACTTCCTTTATGTTTTTCGAGATCATCTCACAGAAGCTGCGCTTTTATTTTCACTTCATTAATTAGCACGGCATGTCCATTGACACTGCTTAGTAAAAGAGGGTGGCTAATGACCGCAACGTCTCGAATTTTTAGAACCTATAATAGTTACCCTTTCTCAGTTGTGGCTTAGGTCAATGTTTGGTCTTACATGATCATGGCCAAACAAAAGACGCTGCGTGGGTCTACGACACGGTCAAATCAACCGAGCAACAAGCAAATGCTCTGTAACACTTCATCCTATGCCTTAAGACCGGGGGCCAGATAACGTTGCTTTGATGGAAAAGTATACCGTCATTCTTGTCAACATTAATTTCTGTTTTTCCTCTCATATTTAGTTATCTAGACATAAAACAATATTTTATGGCGCTGCTGGTAAGTAACGCCTCGTGCGAATTCCTTTCTGTCGCAGCTGTGAGCAATGATCAGTTTTTAGCTGGTAATGGGTCGTGGCCCTACGATATGTTAGAACATTGTGACTTAGAAGCAAGAGACAGTGTGTGATAGCCAAGCGCACACTTTGACATTAGGGTCAATGAAGGGTTTCTTCGATGCTTTCTGGCGTCAACTAGTTTTCCCCTGTTTTTTTTTTTCGTTGTTTTTCTTGCGCTATTTCCTCTTGCTTGAAGCAATACATTTAAGCGCTAAACGAGTTAGATCCACTTTAAAGCCGACGGTGACATATATGTATGTATGCATAAACAGATATAAAACGTTTCAGACAAGAAGGTAGGATTATACAAGCCATACTGTATATTACGTCAATACATGAAAAAGGATATATTTCAAGATATACAGTCAACGAAGGAAAATACAGCATTTAATGTTCATATATTTGTGGTGTCTCTAGCTTGTTCATAACATATAAACAGAATATGACGCACAATTTGTATCTATTCATTTGAAGCCTGCTCCTTTGGTCCTATTTTAAGATACAAAGTGTTTTTAGAAAAATCTTCTAATTAGTCATACGTCCATATTATATCCGTCTTTCCTTTTCTGTCTCATTAGTGCGATAAATTTTATGCAGTATTTGCGTATATAGTTGCGTTTTATCATTTTCTAGTTCTAATTGGCCTTTAACACAATGATAATCAACACACTGTTAAATTTTTAATGTATCTGAAAGACTGATTATTCTGCCATATGTCAGGATCAGTTGGCGCATGGCGTCATACTGGCAATTTTTTGCTATTCAGCTGATAAACTGACTAAGCTTCTGAGTACGAAGACTTTAAATCTTTGATTTGTATCTTACCTTGTTTACATATACAATAATAACACGTGCAAAAAAACGATGACTTGCCATACTGTTGTTAACAAGACATAATTGAAACAAAGGCAAAAAAGCAACGATATTTCATCCGATAGTCTGACATCGGTCGGTACATTTCCTAACTAGATAGTTTTTGGCCGATTTCAAACGAAATATTTCAAATTCTATTAATTGAAGGCGCGGTGGCGTCTTATTCGAAGATATGGCAGTACGATGATGCGAACTTGTTAACAAAGACTTACCATTTAATTATAAGATCTTGATAATCGTCCAGAGGGTATGTAGCCGTACCTCGTGTGTATTAAACGACCTGCCGTAATAATTATAGTGGAAACATGATTCAAAATGGAAGTACATAATCAGTTATAGAAAAAGTTATAGGAAAGTGATAAAATCTGAAGGGAAGACGATACTGCTTAGCCGAAGACGGTGGGGAAATTTGGGTCAAAGGAAATGCCCCATGGCGACCCACAGGTATGCTTCAACAATCATATTTGAACGAATCATATCGACATATGATTCTGGATATATTATTTCTGCATGAATACTTGTTTCTTTTATCGAATCGCACATCGATGGTATATTCACAGATCTTTAAATTGATTGTCACATATGATAAGGTACGAAGTTTTTAGATTATCGAAATTTAAACATCCTTCATTGATTTAACCGCACTTATCTTCGGTGTATGATTCTGTAGGTAGTGAGATCGTTATATATCTCGGGATCACAGCAGCGGTAGTGGCAGTGGCAGTAGTAACAGCAATAAAGTGCCCCAAAATAGCTCACCCAGACAACACGCAACAATCGTGAAGAATTCTCAAAAAAAAAGATAAAAAATGGAGCAAGAAGTGTTGATTTTGGATAGTTCATTATCTTTTACTCCCGATTAATTTTTTTCGCGGCGTGCAATGAGATCCGATCTATTTACACGACCGAAGTTTGTTTCCTGAACGAACAGCGGCAGGCAGAACTGTTGGAGATTGGATATATTATTTGTCACAAAATATTGCGAGAAAGATGAAAGAGTAGTACTCGAACACTTGATTTCGAATGATGAGTAGAAATAAAAGAACGAAAACACTGATCGTTAGCGTGACCGATAACGTCTGGGTTTACAAATGGCAATTTTCTGTTTAACTGTGATCGTGTACGCTGACCAAGTTGATGGCAAAGTTTATAAGACATAAATGATAGAAGAGGGTAATGAAACTAAGTTAATGATCTTATCATACCAGGGAGTTACCATTTAATCCAAATAAACTTGCTACGGAGTACAATAAAATAAAAAGAAATGCAACACAAAGTACTATTATACGGGTTTCATTTGAATTTATATAATATTTATTAGACTTGAGCAATGTATTCAATGGTAATGAAAGGCGAGTAAGAACTGCCGTGAAGTTAAGAAGAAAGGACAACAATTAAAATAATAATAATAATAGTAAATAGCATTGAAATCGTTTGGCCGATATCCTGCAAGACAACAAACGTCCTCTGAACTGTTTACAAACCGCTATGACGCATTGGCAAGACTAAAAAAAAAAAAGACTAAACTGGATCATCTTGTATAATCAATTCAGCGGCGAAGTCACCTAATTTTAATTACACCCACCTGGTTTATACGGTTGTTCTGGACCAATTCTCGTACCGCGAGGTTACTTTTCACTCCCTTCAAAGACAATTTATTTAGACAAAGAAAATTGAAGGATACACGATTTCAATCCTTTGGACATCTGAACAGCATGCTTAGTGGTTAGCGTATGGCATCAAAGCGATAGGAGCCCATCGGTGCTGGACATCACATGAAAATGCCTCTCTACGCGTAAGTACTGTCCAGAAAAAGGTTAACCTCAAAAAAGGCATATACATGATCTTGTCGAAGCAGCATTTTAACACTTCCGTAATTGGATTCACTGTCGCATATTTGCACGCACCTTTGATACGGATCCGAGTTACGAACTGTCACCCATTGCTGAAGGGTTGCTGGCCCTGAAAGTTATTGAGAGGTATCAGTCAAGCCCGCCAATTTTTCGTAAGATACCTATTGTAGGCTACTGATAATTATCAAGTACCTATTGCGCGTAAAATTTAACGATGATGCAGGTGCACTCAATGTCACATCCGTACTTCGCTTAATTCAGCTAGATCAACTCGTGAGTTACGCATGTGCCTTCGAATGATGTCACTCGAACGAACTCGAAGGCGGCCCCTTCTTGCATTGGCAAGAGGATTTGCATCCTGACGTTTTCGCGGGGCATAAGTGCATCGTTTTCTCTAATCTCAACACTTCACCATCTGCCTACCATAAAGGCGCTTCTCTTCTTTACGTATGTCAACAACAGTGAAGCACAGTATATGTCACGGTGCAAATCAGCTTGATCGTTGGTCGATACGGTTTGAGGGGTGAGCCAACTTGTGGTTTTGCTTCTCAAATTGAGCGAAATCGGTATGCGAGAGCGAGGGCAAAATAACGTAAAGCAGAAGGAAGCCAAGTTCGAGAGGCTCTTGATGCTCCCATTGTGGCTTTTACCATTCCGGCTGTTGTGACCGCCGCCGTTTCATGTTTCTTCACGCGGAAAGGGCAAAAGTGCCCTGTAGACGTCAGTGGAACGGAAGAGGCACGGCCGGTACCGAAATGACCACTAACGATAGTCAGCAGCAGATAGCACCGGCCTTTTGACAAAAGAGCCGAAGATTGAACACCCTCCTGGTTATGTCAGTAATAAAAGACCATAGCGGCGATACGTGGCAGAAAAGCATTGAGCAAACCGGGAACACTCAATATCTGAACGATCTGACTGAAGATGGGAGGTCAAAGGAAAAAAAAAAGAAGAAAAAATCGATTTGCGGATGAGTCCCACGGGAGGTGTGTAAGACGTAAATTGCTTCAAATTAGAAGAAGCTGAATCTAAAACCGTAAGGTAATCATCGCCAAACACCGATAGCGGAAGGAGTCGCCAAATAAGAGTAGAAAAAATTGGATCTTGCATTCGAATCGGCAGGAACTGCAAAAAATCTATTTGTGCTTCGAAATCACTGAAAATTATCATTTCCAAGTTTGTATTAAACACTTAGTTAAACGAACATCAACAAACGAAACATGCATC